ATATATAAATATATAAATATATAAATATATAAATATATAAATATATAAATATATAAATATATAAATATATAAATATATAAATATATAAATATATAAATATATAAATATATAAATATATAAATATATAAATATATAAATATATAAATATATAAATATATAAATATATAAATATATAAATATATAAATATATAAATATATAAATATATAAATATATAAATATATAAATATATAAATATATAAATATATAAATATATCAAAATATAAATATATTTTATATTTATATATTTTATATTTATATATTTACACGGATAAATATAAATATAATTTATTTGTAAATTATTTTCAAAATAACCTAATAGCTTAGTGGTTGGAGTATCGACTTCCAACTCGAGAGTACTGGGTTCGAATCCTACCAATGACAATTTCCTTAATCTAATAATAATTCAAAGTTTCGAAAATATAATAAATAATTATAATATAAAGGGGAGGGGGTTGTAATAAATAAAAATATTTTGTTAAAGTAAGTGCATTACCTACGGATTATAATCCGTAGGTAATTACCTACGACCAAATTACCTACGGATTTTCTACGGAAAGAAATCCATAGGTAAAGTGACATTACCTACGGATTTTTGTCATTACCTACGGATTTTACCCGTAGATAATAAGTGTTTTTTTTGTAGTGACCCAAATATGCATATTTTAAATTAGAAGGTATAGGTTTTAATTTGGAAATAATAGAATCCATAATTTTAGATTCTGGATTTTCTAAAAATCAAAAACTTTTTCTGGAAATTTTCAATGTTTTAAATTTTTTTATTTTCTGCCTCTAATTTGCTAAGTCGAACTTGAGTTCGCTCAATGCTTCCCACTATTTTTCAATTTTCAAATTTTGGGATTGGTATACCAATTCTGCAAAGGGGATTCAGCTCCCACTCAGTGCTTTCATCAGGTTTTGGATTATGGAATGGAACAAATCTGCTGAGCAAATTTAATTTCTGATCAATGTTTATCATTGTTAAATAATTAGGAAAGGTCTCGCTAAGTGAATTCAACTTTTGCTTAACGCCCTTATTAGCGTGAATATCAAAAAAAACTAATGGAGCAATTTCGATAAGCAGATTCAACTTCTGCTCAACGTTTTTATTAGAACATGACACTCGAATACGTTTACGCCGGATATTCATTGAGCGAATTCAGCTCCCACTCAACGCATGAACACTAGTCAACATCAATTTGAAATGTTTTCTCATCAAGCATAATATCAACATCAATTAAGGAATTTTGGGCCATACTCAACAATCAATTCAATAAATGTCTCAATCCCCGATAGGGATGGCAAAACGGGCTAGCCGCGCCGTTTTGGCCTGCCTCGCTTTGACCGCCAAAGCGGGACGGGCTGGCTGGCCTGATATAGTCATGACGGGCTATAGACCTTGGCCCGCCCGCCAAGGGCGGGTTGGCGGCTGCCCGCCATAATTTAGAAAAAAATTAATTTATTTTTTAAAATAATTTTTTTTAATAAATTTAATAATAAGATTATTATTTGTTTGTCAATAATTTAATATATATATATATTATTTCAATTTAATAATATAAATCAATATATTATTTTAAGAAATTATAATTTAGAACAATAATAAAATTTACATAATAATAAATAATAACAAATATATACATATATATATATATATATATATTTAACGTTAAAACTTATAAAATTTATATTTTTTATATTGAAAAATTCAAATACCTATATCTTTTTTATTTGATAAAACTTCACATTATTCTTAGTTGAGTAATTCTTACACCTTTAATTCAAGTCATAAGAATAAAAATAATCGAGTGTTTAAGATGAACAAGGAGAACAGGAGAGAAGATTGTGTTTCGATAAGGAAAATATTTTATGTGAGAGTGGAACTTTTTAATTCTCTTTTTAAAAATTTTAACTTTATATATTATCTTTATAATTAATTTTTATTACAATAAAAAATTATTTTTTTATTAATTAGGCAGGCAGTGGATCGACCCGCCCCATCCGCGAGTTGGCCAGCGGCTTAGCGGAGCTTGGCGGGCGGGCCAAAGCGGGCTGGTGGGCTGAAAACACCAACCCGCCCGCCATATTATGGCGGGCTGGCGGGCTGGCGGGCTGGCCCACCAGGCCTGACCCGTTTTGTCATCCCTAATCCCCAACACAAAATGATCTTCACATGGATGTTTAAAAGCATATAAGATATTAAATTTAATTAAAATGTCACCAAACTCCATGGTTAATGTTAAAATATAAAAATATAAAATATGTAAATATAAAATATATAAATACAAATATATAAATATTTTGATATATTTATATATATTTTGATATATTTATATATATTTATATATATTTATATATATTTATATATATTTATATATATTTATATATATTTATATATATTTATATTTATATATTTATATTTTTATATTTTTATATATTTATATATATATATATATATATATTTATATATTTATATATATTTACATATCTATATATTTACATATCTATATATTTACATATCTATATATTTACATATCTATATATTTATATACTTATATGGATATAAATTTATTTGTAAAATAATATAACTTATTTGTAAGTTATTATCAAAAAATCTTAGTAGTTTAGTGGTTAGAGTATCAATTTTCAATTTTTAGGTATTGGGTTCGAATCTTGTCAATCACCATTTTTTTAATTTGATATAATTTACCCACGGATTTTTATCCATAGGTATTATTTTGTAAATAATAGACTTTTTTATGTAGTGGATATGATGGTGCTTGGTAATATAAGAGGAGAATGGAATGGATTGCAAGTATTATTTCTTCATGATAATCTTTATGCTTATTATGTACATTGTTTTGCTCATAGATTACAACTTGTTTTGGTTGTTACTTCAAGAGAATTTATTAGGTTGATCAATTTTTTTCAAATTTACCTTTTATTATAAATGTTGTTTGTTCATCTAGTAAACATCATGATTAGCTACAAAAAGTGAAAAATTAGATGAAATAGTCAAATTGTTAGAACTTGTTGAATTTGAAACCTGTAAAGGAAATAATCAAATTGAAACTTTAAAACAAGTTGGTGATACTCGTTGGAGTTCACATTTTCATTCCATTTGTAGTATGATGAAATTGTATAGTGTATCTTGTTTAGTTCTCCAAAAAATTGTATTTGATGATTCAACTTATTCTGAAATGGGTGATGCTTGATGCTTCTTATAATATTTTGTCCGAGTTTGAATTCATATTGATTTTACATATGATGAAAGAAATTATGAGAATTATTGATTGTCTTTGTCAAGCTTTACGAAACAATCTCGGGATATACATAATGTTATACAGTTAGTCTATTCGACTAAAATTTTGATTCAAAAATTAAGAGAGGAGGGTTGGCAAGATTTGTTGAAAGATGTGATATTGTTTTGTGAGCAACATGACATTGATATTCCTAATTTTAATTCTACCTATGTAGCACGTCATGGTCGTTATCGACATAAAAAAGATTATATTACAGTAGAACATCATTTCAGGGTGAACATATTTTTTATTACAGTAGATAAACAATTACAAGAATTAAATGATAGGTTTAGTGAGAAAACAATAGAACTTTTAACTTTAAGCAATGTTTTAATTCCAAATGATGTTTATAAAAATTTTAATATTGATCGTATATGCACACTTGTGAACAAATTTTATCCTTTAGATTTTAGTGAATAAGAGAAGATTAATTTAAAATTTCAACTTCATCATTTTATACTTGATGGTCATAACCATCTAGATTTGAAGAATTTGTTTACCATATTTGAATTATGTCAATCTTTGACAAAAACAGGGAAGTCAGGTACATTTTACTTAATAGATCATTGAATTCGTCTTATTTTAACTCTTCTTGTTTCTACAGCTACAATTGAGAGATCATTTTTTGCAATGAAGATTATCAAACCAAGACTATGAAATAGAATGGAATATGAAATTCTTGCAGATAATATGATCATTTATATTGAAAAAAAAAATAGCTGAAAACTTTAGTTCTGATTCTATTATAGATGAGTTCAAACGTTTAAAAGAACGAAGAGCATAATTTTAAATAAATATCTTATTTTTTATTTAATATTATATAATTTTTTTATAATTGCCCCCAGATCGACTGGTCAAAATCCGCTACTGATTAGGATAGTTGATTAATTATTCTTGTACATTTAGGATAAGCCGACTAATTATTCTTGTAGTGTTTATAATAATTTTGTAGATTTTATTAAAACTAATGTTAAATAATAAGTATTGTATATATTTATGATTCCTTATGTACGGTAGATATGTCTGAAATTTGTATTATCCTGCATTTTGTATTTTGAATATGCAATTAATGGGATAAAGCCTAAAACAAATTGTTTATTAAAAAAAACTCAAGATACAATGACGATTAATACCATAACCTTTGTCATATGTATGTTTGACTCAAAGATTCAACGATAAATATAACCATAAGAATCGTTCTATCGCTCACATACAACAATTAACGACTCTACAACCGAGGTGGTTGATCAAATTTAACCGATGTTAAAAACCATTGCTATTGACTCCATCAATACCACATTATTTTAATATTACCTCTATAGCAATTGTTCTATCGCTCACATAGAATACCAGTTGTAGGTCAATTTTAACCATCACTTAAAAATCATTGCTAACGACTCCATCGCGCCACATTATTTCACATTACCTCTATAATTATCGACAAGCTCAAGTTTTGTGCACATGAAACAATTTTCAACAATTATTTTATTCTTCTCAATTCATAATACAAACAAACTACACTTGAAATCATCGTTATTTAGAATTATTGACGCACACCATAACCTTGTATTATGAGATACACTTTTCTCCAAAGGTGAAACCCACAAGCATGCAAACTGAAATGGTTTTTCACCAAATATTCCTAAGAAGAGTAACATTGTCTATTGTTGATGTTGACGACAACACTTATAATTGACGGAAGTTACCTCCATTGGACGTCGACAATCCTTTTTTGGGCACGGAATACGTTCCACTATATCCGTTGGAAAACCATAACAAATTACATTTTCTTCACACTTTTTAGAACCATCTTTCTGCATGATTCCCTTGTAGTGCTCTTTGAAAGCCACATCAAAGCTCACTCCACGCAATTTCTCACGCCATGTGTCAAATTCTTTGACTGTGCGACACATGGCCTCACCATGACCAAGGAGACTCACATTTTTGCCTCTACTAAGAATGGCCCATCCTTTAGGATCTTGTTTTAGGAACAGCATCTTCTTTATCTCATTTGTTGTAAAGTCTTTCCCCCTTTCACCACCCTTCACTTGTTTCCTGCTTGTTAGTAAGCTATCAATGGCAATCCAAAAGCGTGGAATAACAACTTTGGTGTCTTTCTTTCCTAGTTGGTATGATTCTATTGTGATATTTGTCTCCAAACTCATTTTCTCAACCTCCTTCTTCAGTGCCTCCGTGGCTGTCGTGAAATCTTGAATCCACTTAATGTCAGTGCCTCCATAGATGAAGAGATAACAATCCTCTTCTTCGATCTGATTTTGCACATATATATATGTATCTCGGTCATTACAATCAGGGGGATATTTGCGCAATAAATGAGATGTGATATACAAATATTCATTTAATAATGATAGCATATCTGACGAGAATTGCTTGCTAAGATAATTAAAGCAACGATTTATTAGATGAATCTTAACCGCATGTTTAAATTTTGTTGATATTTACTTGATCAAGGACATCTCCAAACAATTTATATTATTATTATTATTTTCTTAAAAAATATAAAATATGAATTTACTGTGTCATTTTAAAGTAATTTATTATTAATTTGTTTTAATAAATTTTGAAAAACTCGTCGTTGTCTTTTTTATTTTCTCTCTTGTTTCTTTTTTAATATAAAAAATTTAAGAAATTACGTTACCATATAAGATTTTTTTAAATGAAAAGTTATTTAATGTTGTTACAAAAGTAATAATAAGAAGAGAATAATGAAGAAATTAATTTTTTAAAATTTATTAAAAAAAATCTATTAGAGTAAAAGTAGACATAATAAATCTATATTTTATATTTTCAAAATAAAAAGTAACTTAAATATGTTCTTAATAAATTTTTTTCACTTTTATAATAAATGTGTAAATTAATTAATATTTTAGGGGATAAACGTATTATTGAAAATAAATAATGTTATTTTAAACTTTCAAATAACAAAATATATATATATATATATATATATATATATAGAGAGAGAGAGAGAGAGAGAGGGAGAGAAAGAGGGGGTAAGCATCATCGTTGTAATAAGGGTGCTTATTAATTATTTCAATCTTATGAATGAAAGTCAAATTCAAACTTAAAAATCCACAACTGTTATAATTAACTATTTCAATGATAATGTTATAATTTCAAACAAATGCTAATAGCAAAATGTTTTTAATTAATAAGTGTGAATTAGTCATCAATATTTTATATAATTAAAGATGGGAATATCAACTAGGACATGCATTAATAGTACTTACCCAGTTCTGTATTGCTGGATTGAATTTGGTCATTTCAGCCCAAAACCACTCCCATTGTTGACTAAGTTGGTTTTGATCAGAAGTTCTGAAAGGAAACCCATCGATGCCCCACCGAGATAGAATTTGCTTTGTATCAATGTTTTCCACCTTCCCTTGAGGATTTATTAGTGGGAAAACATGTTTTCCCTCGTACCTTAATTCCTCTCTAATTAACTTGAGGCTTGTTTCAAAGTTTAAATATTTAACCACGTACCATCCAAACTTAGTCTCCCGTAAATTACTCTCTAATTTTTTTTTACGTTCCTCATTCCATTCATCCACAATGGGTATCCACAAAATCTTGAAATCTTCACTCCGATAACCTTCCACTTCTCTTGGCTTCTCCTTCAACTTTTCGTTTATTGAGTTTAAAAGTTGAATCTCCTCTTTAATATTTTCAAGGCCCGAAATGAATAATAACACATACTTCTTTTTAAACTCTTCCAGTTTAACCTGTTAACTCAGAAAAAAAATATATATAATTAAATATATAGATAGTATTTAAAAGTCTTTTGTGCTCTTATTAAATTACATTAATTATATGCTAGAGTGATAAAATGGGTGATGTTGGTTCGCGCGGATCTTCTTGGGAGCTGAGGGGGCCGTGGCCTCCCAAAGTTTTATAACTCACATGTAATTTATGATTTTAGCCTCAAACTTAATAAACATTTAATATATTTACTTGTATATTTATAATTCTATCCTCTCAGCCCCTCCTCAATTTTGTAACTCCCATGTAATTTATGACTTTGTCCCCTCAAACTTAATGATCATTTAATATATTTAAATATATATCTACAATTTTATCCTTTTACCCTTTCATCTTCTTTCTTCCTTTTATATTTATTTATTATTTATTAATAATATATTATTTTATATTTATTTATTATTTATTAATAATATATTATTTGGTCCCCTAAGATCAATGGTCAAGATCCATCATCGCCGACTAATCAATAATTTAGTAAGTGGAATTGATATTTTTAATCCCTTATTCATCCCATTTAATTTAATTGGTTAATACATAAATCAAGACGAGGCAAAATATTTATATTCTTAATTTTTTATATATAATAATATTATAGTAAGTCAAATATGTTTTTTATATAATAATTGTTATAAATATTTATGTTTAATATAATTAGAATACTTTATCTAATTTTCATACCATATAATTTATAATTATATATTTTCTTAAGTTTGTAATTTTAGTTTTATGTAAAGTAGATCATTAAGTGTCGTGTATATTAATGTTTTTAAGATTTAATTTAGGTTCAATCAAATTTAATAAAATAATATTTTTATAAATAATAAATTTATTATTGATAATTTTTATACATATATAGAGAAAAATAATAAAGATTATTATCATTATTATCTTAAGTTATAATAAAAATTATAAATATAAAATATATTAAAAAAAAGTATAAAATTAATAATTATTAATAAAAATATAAAAAAATAACTATTATTTAAAGTTAATGTAATTAATATGAAATAAAAAAAAGAAAAAATTAAAATATATTATATATTTTATAAACAAATTATATTAAAAAAATTGATCATAATTTTTTTAATTACCAATCGTTCAACCCAAGAATCTATCCGGTTTTATCAGTTTTATCCTGATTTTTTCAATTTTATCCCAAATCAATTAAAATCTGATTATTTGAAAATAATAAACTAATTTTTAATCTAATTCTCGATTTAAACTGTTTAATCCAGTTTTTAAAACAATTGCATACTGTATTTATGATTTTAATTTCATAAATGATGATGATTAATTGTAGACTTTTATGATAAGAATCATTCTCTTTAGTGAATTTTGAAAAATATATGATGAATGATCTCTGTACACATTGTCAGATGGTTCTTAAATTTACAAATATGAATATATACGTAAGAATATGTGACATAAAATTCACAATTTTTAGTAGTAGTGGATTAAAAACTAATTAATAGAATAATATATATATATATATATATATATATATATATAAAATAATAATTATACTAAACATAAATATTTATGTATATGAAAATATATTTTATCATATTATAATTTAAATCATTTAACTTGTTCCTTAAAATAAATTATTGATTAGTTTTACTTCTGAATAAGAAATTAAAACACTAAAGGGTGTCAAATAGGATTGGAATAGTGAGTACCTGAAATCATTTAACTTGTTCCTTAAAATAAATTATTGATTAGTTTAACAACTGATTAAGAAATTAAAACACTAAAGGGTATCAAATAGGATTGAAACAGTGAGTACCTGTTTTTCAGAGTGGTCAATATAATACACATTCTGTCTTAAATCCCTGTTGTCTTCAGAAATGATGAGTGCTTTCAAAACCTTTACAATATCTCTACCACGAGAAACAATATTCTTACGCCTGGTGAAGTCCTCTATTCTTTCTGCAATCACCATACATAATATCTTTTTACAAATGAACTTTTAACTCAGCATCTTCAATCACTAGTTTAGAAATTGCATTAGAGAAAAGCAATAATAAGGTACCAAGCACAGAACTAACCTATCTCGTTGCTACACCTTTCCAGAAGATTCTTGAATTTTCCTAGAATGGATTCAAGTTTATTCTCCAACTGTGTCCATAAATCGTGACTTTGATCCCTTGCAATCCGTAAATGGGACATAGAAAAACAATTAAATTTGTTCAATCTAGTATTTGAATGATAAATATTAGAGTAATTAAATTCCAACTATATGTTCATTACGATGTGAAAATCCTATCTTAATTCTTAGATATCACGAACACAAGTCGCACGGGCTTCTAAATAAAGTACGTAAGAATTACCTAGAATAATATTTATAATTTTTTAGGATAAAAGTGGGTGTTTCTCATTACGGGAAAAGGTTGCTTCTATGAATATAAAATAATGTAAAAGTATATAATGTTAATATTTTCATAATAAAATATAAAAAAGATGAACATAAAAATATATTTTCCTAAACCAAATTCCCAAGGATAAATTTGAAGCTTCACTCTACATTTATAGAGCTATATTTACCCGATATTATATATGAAAAAAACAAATAACTAAGTTATCGAGAACAATACTAATTAATAAATTTTTTTAATTAATACTAACTTCAATTCAAATTTTATCCCGAACATATTTTTAGTATTAGGTGCATATACACTACAACAAATAATTTTTTTTACGATGGTTTAAAAAAATTATAATAATAACTTTTTAATAATCAGTCATCATTAAACATTAATAAATTAATAATAGTTTTAAACTATTATCATAATTTATCCAAATAACAATAATTATATTTATAATCCTCGTTCTATGTTAAAATTTTTATTTTATTTCGTCACAACAAATCTTGAAAATCCACTACAACAAATATAAATTCAATAACAAACTTAAAAGTCTAATCATGACAATATTGCTCCTTATTATTATTCCTTTGCAACGAAAACTTTCACTACTTTCTTGTTGTATTGCTACAATGAACCTGAAAGCTTTTACTACTTCCTTATTGTTTTTCTTTTGACTTAGTTTTAACACATTTAACAAAATATTGTCATCTAGCTCTGTCAACAAAACAAAACATTATCCTCTATCTTAACAAAATATTATATTTCTCTATTGTTCTCCCTTGTGACAACTTTAAGTGTGTTGGAGACATTTGTAGTGGATAAAAACACTTTTAAAAGGAGAAGAAGAGAGAAGTTGAATCACGATGAACAAAGGAAGAAGAAAGGAGTTGTAATGAAGGAGAAAAAAAAAGGAGAGAAGAAAAAAAGAGAAATGATATATAAAGTTTAATGAATAGAATGAACAATATTTAAAATTTTAATGAAATATATAACAATAATTTTATAAATAATTGTTATCACATATGACATATAACGACGTATATGATGACAATTATAATAGAACTATCATTAAAAAAAATAAAAAATAATTTTAAAATTGTCATAATTTTTTTTTCAATAACGGTTCACATGTAACAATTATTAAAAGATATTGTCATTTTGTTTAGTACCAGTAATATATATTTCTTCTTGGTGAATTGATGCATTTATTTTATAAGAAATAAGTGAATATGTAATAAATAAGTTTCACAATAAACTAATCTTATAAAAAAATTTAGGGTGAGTGGTCGGTCTTTTGAGGATTGAAAGACTACGAACTCTCTAAAATTTTATAATTTTATATATATTTATGATTTTAGTTTCTTTAAATTTAATTATCATTAAATATATTTACTTGTATATTTATAATATTCTCTCACCATTTCATTTTTTTTATCTTTTCTTATTGATTTACTATTTATTAATAATATATTATTTAGACCCTAAAATCAATAATCAAAATCCATCTCTCTCATGTACCATTTTATATTAATATTCAGAAGGCTAGGATCACTTTAAGAAATAGTTGTAATTAATAAAAAATTTGAACTTAAAAATTATAGGAATGTTAGTTATATATTTTTAATACAATTCTTTTAATTTATTTGAAATCATAAAATCATTTTAAAATTGTTAAATATGATGTATGGTTTACATATTTTTACACTTTAAATAAAAGAAGAATTGTGTTAAAAAGAATGCGTAAGACAATGATAATTAGAAAGGTAACATGCCTTACTTGTTACGAGTGAAGTCATCAATTTCACCAGTACAGGTGATAAAGGTGAAAATTGTCCAGTACACAACAATAGGAATCTCTTGCAAACTTTCTGCCAAAGTAGGTACATCTCTTATGTCATGCCCTGCACTAATAAGCTTCTTCCACACAGTGATACATTCAACCACTTCCATTACCTTCTTCACCACACCGTTGAAGTGAGTGAGGTTCTTTTTGTTCTGTGGAACCATTAGAAGTCCATGCAAATCTGCAAATGAACTTTCAAACTGCTGGCATGGTGCGATCAGAGGAAGAAGGTACAAGAATTTGCCGTATTCCAGGGCAAAAGCTGCTTGAACTATCAGTACTTTTGCATCCCAAGAATAATGTTTCAGCTGTTCCAGAATCAACATCGTTGTGCAATGAACTGGATGTTCACCACGAGGAGTACATATCATCTACAATATCCAAGAAGTTTTTAATTTATATACATCACATATTGTTAGGATAAAATATTTTACATTTACAAATCATGCATATTGATATAATTTTTAATATATTCTTACACAGTTAAACAATTTTAAGTGCAAATTGATTAATAGTACCATATGAATTTTATACAGGTTTAGTTGTATTTTTGTTTTTTCAAATATCATAATTATATAATTTTTCATCCTCACGTTTCAATTGTAACAATTAGATGTCAATACACAAGGAAATTTCCCTTGACCAAAACAAAATCTGCAAAATTATTAAAAATATAATTGACTTAATTGATAGAGAAAAGAGTAAAATCACATATTTATCTTACTTCAAAAACTCAATTGGTATAATTTTGAAAGATTAAAATTTAGATGCAACTAAGAAAAATAGTAAATCAACTTCCACTATTTTCCTATTATTTTTTTATTTTCTTTTATTTCCTGTTTGAAGAGTGTGGATCCATTTAAATATAAGAAAAATAATATTTGATATATTATTTATTATAATAAAAATAATAATTATTTATTCATCAAATAAACTTATTCTTGTTTGTGAATTGATTTCTACTTTTGTCTAGGAAACTATTATAGGATTATATATTTCATAAATTTTTATTTCATTTACAATTTTTTATTAATGATTAAATTAATAGTATTATATTATTAAATTTTTTATTATTATTATCGGAAACACATGTCCACGTATATGTTTGTGTCCATATTTTTATTATGTTTTTTATTTGAATTTATTAAAATTAATATATTATTAAATATTTGTTCTTGAGATTTTAAATTGTTGAAAATTGTTATAAATAAAGTATAAGACAGAATTTCAAGAAGAAAGAATCAATGATAAAATAATAAAGAAATCATATTTTTTATTATTTAAAATATTGAAAAAATAAATAAAAAGATATAATATAAATATATATTATATTTTTTTCTCCGATAAAAAAATAGTAATAATTGAATTGTGCAAGTATATTTTAGAGTTTTCTATGTATATTTAAGTCAATCACACACTTTGGACAAGATTATTTTATTTAATAACATTAAAATAGTTGTCTGAAATTCATATTTGTGTGAAGCGCCATAGAAGATTATTAAAGTTTAACTATAGAAGGCTATGCTACATTCGTTATTTTCATGAAAAAGTTCAATCAAATTTCTAGTTGACACAGAATAAGAAATTAGCAATCACCAGATAAGCAATTCGCTTCAGTTTGGCAGCAAGTTGTTGGAAAGTTATGGTCGTGTCTTCTCTGAACTGATCGCTGAGTTTCTCACTCTGTTCACAGAATCATATACTTTATGGTGTAAACAGTTTGGAAAAGGTTGTTGTATAGGGTGTAAGAAAATTACCTTAGCAATCACCTTTTCTGAGATTTCCATGGAGAGGTTGATAACATCAGAGGCAGCGCTGTGAAGAGAAGCTGTATCACACTTCTCAAGACAATGAAAATGTGTTCTGTAAACATCATCCAGGATCTTGTCGTGACTGAATTCAAATGGGTTCTGCTTCTGCTTCTGCATCCCTTGCTTCACATTACTACTTGAACCTGACTCGGACATAATAGCTACCTATATAGCTTAGACAACAATATCCTACAAGTCAATTTCCAAGTAAATGTAACCTTTTTTGTTTGTAATGCCTTATTTGTAGCTTGCAAAAATCTTAGAGCATGGTTTATAATGCTACCTAACCATAGCACAGTGAATGATTCGTTTCACCATGCATGGATATGATTATCCACACAAGAAAGCATCCAAGCAAATAATAAATTAAAGTAAACTGTCCCCCCTGTGATCCCTAATCCACCCGTCATAGTATGTGGCGCGGTGGCAATTTTGTAATAAAATCATAAACTTTCTATGTCGGGTAAGTTTTAACCGACATAGTAAGTGGAAATGTCACTTTCTATATCGGGTAAAATTTACCCGACATAGAAAGTGAACTTTCTATGTCGGTTATAATTTACCCGACAACTTTCTATGTCGGTTAAGTTTTACCCGACATAGAAAGTAAACTTTTATGTCGGTTAAATTTTAACCGACATAGAAAGTACTTTTATGTCGGTTAAATTTTTAACCGACATAAAAGTACTTTCTATGTCGGTTGAAATTTAACCGACATAGAAAGTGTATATTAAATAAAAAAAATTAAATATATAAGTATATAAATATTTATATATCAAAATATATAAATATATTTGTATTTATATATTTTGTATATAAATATAATTTATTTGTAAGTTATGTATCAGAAATTCGTAGTAGTTTAGTGGTTGGAGTATCGGTCTTCAACTCTAAGGTACTGGGTTCAAATCTTGTTAGACACAAATCTTTTAAACATATAATAAATCCTACCAGTAATAATTTTTGTAAAAAGTCCATTACTTTCTATGTCGGTTCATTACAACCGACATAAAAAGTCATACTTTCTATGACGGTTCATCACAACCGACGTAAAAAGTCATACTTTCTATGACCCCTGTATCTATGTCGCCTCTTTAACCGACGTAAAAAGCTCATTTTAACCGACATAAAAAGCCTTTTTTGCACTAGTGTCTGTTAGGACAGGTGAAAATGAATTGTGTCCATGTTATATTAATTTCTTAATTTTATACCCTAGACTTTTGATTTTCAAGAAAAGAATGAGGATATGAAAACACGTCGCACTTTTTATGTTGCTTTTCAAGAAAAGAATGTGGATAAGAAAAGTATTAGGGTCGATCTACAAGAAAAGAACCGTGGTACAGCGTAATACTATAGATACTTGTATTGTATTGACAAGGGATGCATATGCTCTACTAAAATATATTATTTTAAACGTCGAATAAATGAACTACAGGGACTCTCGTGTATCTTCTGAAAATAAGACATCGTCATTTTTCATTAATGAAAATATTTTTTTAATGTTATTTAATAACAATATTCAATATCGATTCTAGGGTATATAATGTTAGATGATAATTTAGTTATAATATTCTAACAAATCTCAGTTATTATTATAAATACTGTGTCAGTGATTATATAAACTAAGTATTTTTACGTAGAATATACAGTTTCATTTTTCAGTGTAGAGCTTTAAGATCCAAGAAGAAGAAAAAGAAGTAGAAGAAAGAATGGCGATGACAATCGGAAGATGACAATCGGAATATGCCAGTGCTCAATAGCAAGAACATCAATGTGTACGATAGTTAGTATTTGAAGATGAAGACCATTTTTGGTTTTCAAGAAGTCTTGGATGTAGTTTTGAATGGATATGATGGGCTACCGAAGAACCCCAATCATTACAAGAAAAATTCATTTTAGCGACCGAAAAAATCGGTCGCTAATGTCAAAAAATCGGTCGCTAATCAGTTAGCGACCAACATTTGCGACCGAAAAGCGTCATCGCAAAAAGCCAAGTCGCTAATGTGTTAGCGACCGATTTTCATTTCGGTCGCAAAATAGCGACCGATTTTATTTCGGTCGCAAAATAACGGCCGAAATTAATATATCCAATTAGTCGCTAAATCGGTGACAAAGTTAAAAAATAGCGACCGATTTAAATCGATCAGCTAAATAAGTAACAAAGTTAAAAAAATAACGATCGTTTTAAATCGGTGGCTAAATCAGTAACAAAGTTAAAAAAATAAGCGACCGTTTTAAATCGATGGCTAAATTAGTAACAAAGTTAAAAAAATAAGCGATCGTTTTAAATCGGTGGCTAAATTAGTAACAAAGTTAAAAAAAATAAGCGACCGATTTTATATTATATTTTTACTTATTTAAGTTTTTATTTATATTTATTTCCAATAACTCTTAATTATATTATATTTTTTAGAAGTTTAACTTATTATTATCATTGTCAGGATTCGAACCCGGTAGTTGGAGGCAAAAACTCCAACCACTCGAGCTACTAGGATTTTTTAATAATAACTTACAAATAAATTATATTTATATACAAATAAATGTATATCCGTATAAATATATAAATATAAAATGTATAAATAAAAATATATTTATATATTTTAATACATATTTAAATATTGATATATTTATACATTGATATATTTAAATATTTATATATTGATATATTTATATATTTATATCTTTATATTTTTACATATATTTATATCTTTCCATATTTATATATTTATATATAAAGATATTAGTTTTGTATACAAATAATATTATAATATAGTATATTATACTATTAGTATAATATACAAATTATTAATTTTGTAATTTATATACAATGAAAATGAAAATAATATAATGATATATTAGTATAGTATATTTGTATTCTAATTTTTAATTAAATTAAAATTATGCTAATAATGTATAATAATATATGAGGGGATAATAAATTTAATCCAATTACTTTTATAAATATATAAATATAAAATCTATAAAATATTAAAAATGATATTATATTTTTAAAAACAAATATTAGAAAAAGGTTTAAAAACATATATAAATTATATTTATATGTCCAAAATATTAAAGATATCCACATTTAAAAAAATAATAAAAAATATTAAAAATTATACTTTAAATTGATGAAAATATTTTAAAAAAGTTATATTTATTAAAGTATTAAAAATATTTTGTAATATATAAATTAAAAAAATTATCATTAAATTTTTTAAAAATTATTAGTTTTGTAATTTATACACAATAAAAATAAATTACAAATATTATAACTTAATGGTATATTAATATAATATAATATATTTGTATTCTAATTTTTAATTAAACTAAAATTACGCTAATAATGTATAATAATATATGATGGAATAATATTGATATATTTATATATATATATATATATATATATATATATATTTATATATTTATATATTAATATATTTATATATTTAAATATTTAAATATTTAAATATTAATATATTTATATATTTATATTTTGATATATTTATATATTTATTTATATCCTTATACATTTATATCTTTATATATTTATATATTTGAAAAAAAATAAAAATAAAAATATTAAAATTTAAAAATAATATTATATTTTTAAAAATAAATATTAAAAAAAGATTTAAAAATATATAAATTATATTTACATGTACAAAATATTAAAGATATATATTATCTTTACATATTTATATATTTATATCTTTATATTTTATATCTTTATATCTTTACATATATTTATATCTTTATATCTTTCCATATATTTATATCTTTATATCTTTATATATTTATATATTTATATCTTTATATATATATATATATATATATATATTTATATCTTTATATATTTATAAAACCTATAAATAAAAATATATTTATATATTTTAATATATATTTAAATATTGATATATTGACATATTTATATATTTATATATTTACATATTTATATATTAATATATTTATATATTTATATATTTATTTATATCTTTATATATTTAAAAATTATATTTTAAATTGATGAAAATATTTTTAAAAAGTTATATTTATTAAAGTATTAAAAAATATTCTGTAATATATAAGTTAAAAAAATTATCATTAAATTTTTTAAAAATTATTAGTTTTGTAATTTATACACAATTAAAATAAATTACAAATATTATAATATAATGGTATATTAATATAATATAATATATTTGTATTCTAATTTTTAATTAAACTAAAATTACGCTAATAATGTATAATAATATATGAGGGGATAATATTGATATATTGATATATTGATATATTAATATATTTATATATTTATATTTTGATATATTTATATATTTATATTTTGATATATTTATATTTTGATATATTTATATATTGATATATTGATATATTTATTTATATCCTTATACATTTATATATTTAAAAAAATAAAAATTTAAATATTAAATTTCAAAAATAATATTATATTTTTAAAAATAAATATTAGAAAAAGATTTAAAAATATATATAAATTATATTTACATGTACAAAATATTAAAGATATATATTTATATCTTTACATATTTATATATTTATATTTTATATCTTTACATATGTTTATATATTTATATCTTTATATATATATATATATATATATATATATATATATATATATATATATCTTTATATATTTATAAAATCTATAAATACAAATATATTTATATATTTTAATATATATTTAAATATTGATATATTGATATATTTACATATTTATATATTTACATATTTACATATTAATATATTGATATATTTATATATTTACATATTTATATATTTATATTTATTTATATTTTTACATATTTATATCTTTATATCTTTATATATTTAAGAAAAAATTAAAAATTTAAATATTAAATTTTAAAATAATATTTTATTTTAAAAAAAATATTAGAAAAAGGTTTAAAAATATATATAAATTATATTTACATGTACAAAATATTAAAGATATATATATTTATATCTTTACATATTTATATATTTGTATCTTTATATATTTATATCTTTATATTTTTACATATATTTATATCTTTATATTTTTACATATATTTATATCTTTCCATATTTATATATAAAGATATAAAGATATTAGTTTTGTATACAAATAATATTATAATATAGTATATTATACTATTAGTATAGTATACAAATAATATATTAGTAAAGTATAGTATACAAATTATTAATTTTATAATTTATATACAATAAAAATAATATAATGGTATATTAGTATAATATAGTATATTTGTATTCTA